TTTTTTTTGACATAACTCGAGAACCACTAGACCGATTTTGCTCAAACAAATTTAAAAAAATTAAAAATTACAATTCCTTTAATCTGTTCATATAACGTTTTTCTATATAATCAACAGTTTTGCCGGTAAAAATAAATGTATGAAGAAAAAAAAATATTTTTTGCCTAAAATATAAATTTTTTTTATTTTTTAAATTCATAAAAAATCCAAAACGGAAAAAAGGCAAGTCGTATTACTTTCACGCAAAGTCACATAACCTTTAAGCAAAATGAGACATAGATCATGAAATCGATGGACGCGTTTCGCTTTTATTCACAATTAAGTGAAGGTATCTCATTTTGACAAGAATATTTCCCCTATATGATAGTTACTAACTTCAAATCGATATATCTCGATTCCTAGACGTGACCCAGCGAAACGCCGGGCCACGTACAACTTGTTTTTGACCGATATAACATTTCCCGTTGGTTTCATCCCATCCCGATTTTGACTGTCGCATAGTGTTATTTACGAGAAATATCTTTTTTCGTCTCGCGGGACGATTATTTCAAGACGAATATTATTTACGTCTTCTCATAATAATTATATAGGCTTTTTATTTTTTTTTTTCGTCTCTCTGGACGTTTATTTCAAGACGAATATGATTTACGTCTTCTCATAATAATTATATTGGCTTTTTATTTTTTTTCGTCTCTCGGGACGTTTATTTCAAGACGAATATTATTTACGTCCCACATTTTTCTTAATAGAATTGGTACACTTACAGCCGATTTCACGAAATTTTTTAATTGCAATTTAATTTAAATTTTAATTTTTATTAAATTTTGCATTTAAGTTTTACTCCTTTCACCAGTACACACTTGGCCTAATTCAATTTGTCTGGCATAAATGAACTAATTCAGCTTCGAAGTTGAAATTTGGCGAAGACAAATTGTGGACCATCGGGCCACGCCCACCTTGACCGCCCATACAGCATTATTTATAGCTTTAAAGATTTTCAATGAGAAGTGAGTAAATCTTGTACGTATTTATATAAAGTAAAGTTGCAAAAGTGGTGTAAATCATTTACTCAAAAACCTCTGGACCGATTTTGACGAAATTTTGAGAATTGGGAGAAGGTTTAAATTATGTTAGTTTTGTAATGTCTGAGTGAATCTCTTGCACTCAAACTTACTAAATACTGTCGTTCGCTCACTGCAGCTTATATGTATGTATGCACATACTATAAATATTACGGTTAGCCTAAGTATACATAACTTGAGTCTTAGCAATAATAGGCAGTCGCGTAGCGAACATCAACAAGCGAACATTGTAACTAATTATATATATTTAATAAAGTTGTTGCTGAATAGTAAATTGGCGCAGTCGGTAGGATACCGTAACATTCATTAGTATATAGCAACCGTTCGCCAAAACAAAATCGCTTAACATTATTGTTGTTCCTGCGCAACCTAAAACGTGAATATTGCGAGAAGTCAAAGCTAAAGGGCAAGCCAAGGTCACCTTCAGCAATCATTCGTTTTACTTCATCACACATCGATGCCAGAAGAAGTTAAACCAACAGCGCAATTAACACCGCAGCACCTGCAGTTTGAGGAAAACGTTTCTCGCCACATAATGTCGACACTTGGGAATCTGGAACCGTTCAACGTGGAACACCCAGAAAATTGGTCTACGTATTATGCGAGGTTCGAGCTCTACTTACTGGCCAATGACGTACAGGGCAACGATCGGCAAAGGGCCGTATTTCTCACCTTAGCCGGAGCGCCATTATATGATCTCCTGTCGTCATTGGCCTCGCCCCGTCAAGTGAGTCAACTAAGCATAAATGAAATCAAAATGATTTTAACAAATCATTTTTCTCCCCGGCCCTCGGAAATCGCGGCTTATTACAAATTCCACAAACGAGACCAAAAATCTAATGAGGGATTTTCCGAGTACGTCGCAGCCTTGCGCAAATTGGCTGTTGATTGCAACTTTGGCACGGCGTTGGATCGCATGCTAAGAGATCGCTTGGTATGTGGCTTGCGTGATGAGGCATTGCAGCGCAACCTACTAGCAGAGCCGGACTTGAAGCTGCAAAAGGTTCTCGATCGAGCTGCTACTGCCGAAGCAGCATTTAAGCACGCATCTGAAATGCGACACTCCGAACAGGTTCATCATGTAGCGTCCAACAACAACCATCGCCATAATCGTTTGAAAACGCGTGCTAGTTCCAACGCACAAACAAAGCCATGCAATGGATGTGGTGGCTCACATGCCCGCTGTCAGTGTCCGCATCGAGAAACAATTTGCTCGTCGTGTGGCACAAAAGGTCACCTTCAACGTGTTTGTCGCTCATCAGCATCTAACTCAGCCAATCAGCAAAAGACATCGCATTCTTCAGGACGGTTAAAAAAGCAGAAACCACAATCCATAAATCAAATTTTGCCTCTGGTTGATTTGAAAAAATCAGCGACCATCAGTATTAATGGATATAATTGCACATTTGAAATCGATTCGGGGTCAAACTATACCATAATGTCATCAACAACATTTGAACGTGTGTGGCCGGTACAGAAGCCAATCATGCACACCAGTGACCTTGAACTTGTCGATTTTCAACGTAATAGAATTCCTATAATGGGTGTGGTTGATACAGATGTATCATACGGCGGCCGTGAGGTCAGCTGCTTACCCGTCGTTGTCGTAGACGGAAACCGTTCAAACGTATTAGGGTGCAATTGGTTCACCCCACTGGGCATTACAATTCAGGGCGTCAATGCAGTTGAAGAAGCATCGTCAATCAAAGGTATCCTTAAGCAATTTAATCATCTTTTCGCAGAGGAGCTGGGGTGTTTCAAAGGGAAGCCAGTTTCCCTCTACATCGACAAGTTAGTTCAACCTATTCGATATCCACCTCGGCGTATTCCATTAGCCACCAAAGGCCTTGTCGAAGCTGAACTAGACCGCCTATGTTCACAAGGGATCCTAGAGCCAGTTGAGTACTCGGACTGGGCCACACCGATTGTGCCGGTTCCTAAGAGCGATGGGACAATCCGCATTTGCGGCGACTATAAGTCGACGCTTAACAAAGCACTAAAGCCGCACAACTTCCAGATACCTGCTATCAACACTTTACTTTCGTCTATAGAGGGAGGCAGCATTTTTGCCAAAATAGATCTTGCACAAGCCTATCAGCAATTGCAAGTGGACGAACAATCATCCGTGTTGCAGAGTATCGTCACTCACAAAGGCGCCTTCAGAGTTACCAGGCTTCAATTTGGAATCTCTTCAGCGCCAGGGATATTTCAAAATTTTATAGAAACACTTTTAAGAAATATTCCGGGGGTGCTGCCGTATTTTGACGACATCGTTCTAATGGGCAAAACAGAGGCTGAGCTCGCTGCTCGGCTGCATGAGGTATTTAGCCGATTCAACACCGCTGGTCTTCGACTAAGAAAGGATAAGTGTTCCTTCGGAGTCTCAAGCATCGAGTTCCTGGGATTCAAGCTGGATTCACTGGGCATTCGGCCATCTCAGAGTAAAGTCAAGGCCATTCAAAACGCTCCAGCACCCCAAGACAAAAAACAATTGCAAGCGTTCTTGGGCCTCCTCAATTTCTACCACTCCTTTTTACCGAACAAAGCTACAATTGCCGAGCCCTTACATCGCCTACTGGATAAGAACTCCCATTGGTTCTGGAAAAAAGGAACAACAACAGGCGTTCGAAAATCTTAAGCAGCTCATAGTATCCGAACGCGTTCTAGTACACTATAGCTCAAAATTGCCATTGGTGGTAGTTTGTGATGCATCGCCATATGGCATCGGCGCTGTTCTCAGCCACCGCATGCCTGAGGGGTGTGAGAGGCCCATTGCATTTTACTCTAGGACCTTATCGAAGCCAGAGCGGAATTACGCCCAAATAGACCGCGAAGCTGTAGCGTTAATCGCTGGAGTGAAAAAATTTCACGACTACCTTTATGGGCGCAAATTTACTCTGGTTACCGATCATCGGCCCCTATTGGGTATCTTCAATACGACCAAGCCCGTTCCTAATGTGATATCATCGCAAATGCTTCGACGGCGAATTTTCCTTAATGCGTACGATTTTGAAATTGTATACCGTTCGGGAAATAAGTTGGGGAACGCTGACTTTTTGAGTCGATTACCCTTAATGGATGAGCAACGAATGATTAAGGAAGATGTACTGATGATAGAAATGGTCAACAAGCCCGTAGTAGACGCCAAACATATCGCTGTTCAAACTGCTAAAAATGCGGACCTGGCAAAAGTTCTCAGCTGGGCGTTAAGGGGGTGGCCACCTAACATGAGCCGATCGGACAGGCTGTATCCCTTTTATGTTCGCCGACAAGAAATCTCATCAGTAAAAGGTTGCTTACTATGGGGGAACAGAACAATCATCCCGACAGAAAGTCGACAGGTAGTCCTCAGTGCGTTACATACTGGCCATCCGGGCATTGTGCGAATGAAGGCCTTAGCGAGAAGCTATGTCTGGTGGCCGAAAATGGAGTTGGAGATTGAGGATATTGTAAAGATGTGTGCACCTTGCCAAGCTACTCGTCACGAGAAAGCTCATGCGCCAGTTCATTGGTGGGAAACAACGAAAAATCCATGGTCACGCCTCCATGTAGATTTTGCTGGGCCGTTTCAAGGTAAGATTTTCTTCATCGTTGTAGATTCGTTCTCGAAGTGGCTTGAAGTTTTCTTGGTCAAGTCAACCTCATCCCAATCGGCCATCAAACCCCTTCGATCACTCTTCGCAACTCATGGGCTGCCGGATGAGATAGTGTCAGACAACGGGACAGCATTTACATCCGATGAATTTAAAACATTCATGCAGGACAACTTAATTCGTCACATGCGCTGTGCCCCATTTCACCCGTCGTGCAACGGTCAAGCAGAACGAATGGTGCAGACAACGAAGGACTTCTTGAAGAAAACACCAGAGTGGCAGGACATCGACTTAAGGCTGTCACGGTTTCTTTTCAATCAGCATATTACGCCGCATACATCTACTGGGCGTTCACCTGCAGAGCTTATGTTTAAGAGACAACTAAAGACATTTTTCGATAAAATTCATCCGCACGAATTGCCTACTGCAAAGCACGAAATTGGCAGGGAGAAGTCCTTCAACGATGGAGACCCAGTGTGGGTGCGAAACTACTCCACAGGACCTAAATGGGTACCAGCGAAAATTAATTCAAGGAATGGACCCATATCATATGCAGTTCAGCTGGACGACGATTCGCGTATCATAAAACGGCATCTAGATCAGATAAGAATTCGACAAGTAGCTGAACGGGGTAATGACTTAGCTCTCTTTAACCAGAACTCTAAAGAGCCAGAAACCTCATCGGAATCGGGGTCTGCAGCGATGGATGAGAGCAGTCCATCTTCTCCACTTCAACAACAGTCCAATTCAGAGGGTTCTTCGCAGCATCGGTCGTACCCCTCCACCGCAGCAGATAGTTCGACACCGCTGGACGCAGGCATCTCATCAGACGATTGCACTCCACGACGATCCAATCGTGCTCGACGTCCACCAGATTTTTACAGCGTTCCTGGGCGTTAAGGGGTGTAATGTCTGAGTGAATCTCTTGCACTCAAACTTACTAAATACTCTCGTTCGCTCACTGCAGCTTATATGTATGTATGCACATACTATAAATATTACGGTTAGCCTAAGTATACATAACTTGAGTCTTAGCAATAATAGGCAGTCGCGTAGCGAACATCAACAAGCGAACATTGTAACTAATTATATATATTTAATAAAGTTGTTGCTGAATACTAAAGTTTGCTATCCGGTAAATATTAAGACATTAATTCAATTTAGTTAAATTAATTACTTCAATATGGGTATCAATCGAAATGGTGTTGAAAAGGATTTATTTCTAAGCAACATGTGGGAGGGTTGCCATCTGTTTAAAAAATTCAATTGAACATGAACATGGGAGTTAGGTAACTGGAATACGTATCACAATATGGGTTGGTTGTAGTGTAAAAATGTGTACACGAAGGCGTAAAAAAAATAGGTTTAAGAAAGTTTCACTTTGAAAATTTGTGGATGAGGGCTGCCAACTGTTTAATTATTTAATAACTTTAATGAGTGATTACAATATGGATATCAAACGCAAGAGTTTTAAAAAACTTCATTTCTAAACTATATGCCGGAGCAGGGCCGTAGCCAGGATTTTTTTTTCGGGGGGGAGGGGTGCTTTCTGGCAAAATATTTTTTTTATTATCACTTTTATTTCAACACATTTTGATTAAAAGAAAAATACTGATACAAATAAAATATTTCACACAAACAACAAAAAATATAATCGATAATCGCATGAGGCTTTTGCCTGAAAATTTTAAAATGCACTTAGTGGCATTGTGCTACTATGATAGCTCGGCCCAGTAATCATAGTTTACTTATGTACAGTAGACTGCATCATTCCCCATACAAGAAAAAATCGGTACTATTCTCCCACTAGAATTATGAAATCTATTATATTTTAAGACTTCTACCAAAATATTTCTAAAAAATAATAAGATTTACGTGAGCTGGACCGATTTGAAAATACCTCCAGAATTTGAGTTTTTTATTAAAAAAAACAGTTTTTTTTTTAATATTTTTTTGAAAAAAATACCCTCAGATTACTAAACAGTTTAAGCTTAAAAAACTTGTATAAAAATATTTAAAAAAAAATTCTACGGAATCATAATATCTAATGAGATTTTCGATGCTGTTTTTAAACTTTTATCAAAGACTGGTTTAAGAAAAACTTGAATAACTTTGCCAAAAACCCTACCAATTTAAACTTATGAGGTATCATTGGTAAGGTATTTTCTCACCCTTTGAATTTCTTTGCGAAACAGCTCATTCAAAGTATGAAAGAGGAAGGTAAGATAAACGCGTGTCATTCCATGTTGAGTTAAGATGTGTTGGTATTTGATAAAGAAAACTTTGGGACGTGAATAAGTTGTTTTGCAAAGGAATAAAAAAGGTGAGAAAATACCTTTCCACTGATACCTCATAAGTCTATATCGGTAAAGTGTTGGAGCAGTTATTCTAGTTTTTCTTACCCCAACCTTTGAAAAAAGTTAAAAAACAGCATCAAATTCTTATTATTATGATTCCGTTGATACAATTTTTTAATATTTCTATGTAGAAACTATTTTTATTCATAAAAAACTCCATTTTAGACGTATTTTCAAACCAGTCCAGCTCACGTAAATCTTATTATTTTTCAGAAATATTTTGGTAGAAGTCTTAATATGTATGTACAAGGCTTGGTAATCCCGCCGGAAAAACCGCACTTTTTTTGTACATTGTACAGTAGTCGAAAAAATTATAGCCGCACCAAACTTTCACAAGTTATAAAATATTATATTTGTTTTTATTTAATTTTGGTAAGTTTTTTTTAGTTCGTTTTTTATCAACATCCGTATAAATACAAGTTTAAAGGCAGTGTAACACGATTGGATATTTGCCAAAATTTCATGCAAATCGTATCCCAATTGTGTGAATACTAGGGCCGTGCGATTATTCGATTACTCGAGCAAGTTGGTTAATCAATTATTCGGTTAATCAATTACTCGAGTAATCAAGATTTTGATTACTCGAAACGATGATTAATCGAGTTACTTGAAATATGATTACTCAAAAAAAATAATTTTGCCGGTTAAAAGAGTTTGCTTTGGAAAATGCTTATTTCCTTTTTTACATTCTGTATATGAAACAAATTTTTTGTTTTAATTTTTGAAAACAGAAACGTTGTTTTCAAAGTATCAAGGAACTTTAACTACTTTATACATATCGACTGCTGATCGACCGACTGGAAGATCGACCTATCTCGGCAGCCAGGTCGAAAACGCCCTACCTCAAAAAAATTTTCAAGAACGCCCTATTTCAGAATTCGTTTCAAAAACGCCCTATCCCAGATGCCGATTCAAAAAAACGGCCTATTTCAGCACATTTTCAATACATTTTGAAGTGAGATAGGGCGCTCTTCAACCAAACTTTGAGATAGGGTGTTTTTCAATAAAATTCTGAAATAGGGCGTTGTTGAAAAGCTTTTTGAGATAGGGCTTTATCGAACTGGCTGCCGAGATAGGTCGATCTTCCACTCAGCAGTCGATATGTAAAGAGTTGAAATGTTGATTGCTCATTTTACTTGCAATTTTGATTAATCATAAAGCAACTTACTCAAATATTTTCGTTTTTGGTTAATCAAAAATCTTGATTACTCGAGCAACTGAGCTTTTGAGTAATCATAAATTCCAATTAATCGAATAATTGAGTTATTTACTTTATGATTGATTAAAATTTTGAGTAATCAATTAATCGCACAGCCCTAGTGAATACCCAAATATTTTTCTTTGTCCCAATCACGAAAATTAGTTTGTTGAAAATTTTCAATAGAACATCGCTGTATTGTACCAATCTTTTAACCACAAAAAAAAAAATTTCCCATTGTTTTATTTTGTTCCAATAGCCCAATATAAAAATATACCAATCTGTATAAATGTAACAATCGAGTGCCACTGCCTTAAAAATTTATGCAATTCAAAAAAAGATTAAACAAATTTTCGGAAAAATTTGGATTTTTTTAATTAGATTCTGAGTATGCAGTTTTGTTGCCCATTGAATTCTAGTAGAATAAAGTACAAGTTTCAAATGGCTCGAAATTTGTACGAAGATTTGAGTTTTTGGTGGATTACGTACC